TGTAAGGAGCAGCAAGCAGGCGGTGGTAAGGAGCGAGGGGGACTGCAAAAGGGATGTCTGCCTACTGGTAAATGCAAGAGGATGCAGGCCGAGCTAATGGAACCCCATCCAGTGCACAAATTTCCGTGCACTGGGCCTCTGGTAAAGAATAATGGACAATGCCTCAAAAGAAAAAAACTGCTTTGGCTATTTTTTTTAAAATAATTTTTATATGTTAATTACAGTTGACATACAATATTATGTTAGTTTCAGGTGTACATTATATAACAAGTTGATCGTCCTGATAAATCTTGCAACCATCCTACATCCTTAGTTGTTAGAATATTATTTCCTACTAGTGACCTGGTGTACGAATTCGTGCACATTGAAAGGAAATTAATTAGAAGGTGGCTGGTGGGGCGGGACTGGGAGAGACAGGCCAAACATGCTTGGAGTCAACCTCCTGCTGTCCCTCCCCAGCATCTGTGGAGTGAGGGGTGGCCCTTCTGCAGGTGGGGTCCTTGGGCCTGGCCTACGGGGATCAGGCTGAAACTGGCCCTCTGTCATCTCCTGAGGGGCCCCGAGTGCAAGAGGGCACTCTGCAAAGTTGCTGTCATACAGGGTATTGAATGCAAATGCAAGTGTGCAGTAAACCAAATTCAGAACCAACAGCGCCCCAGCAACAATATAACCTATGGCCAAAGGTGGAATCACGTAGCCCTATGAGGAATCAGGCTCCTTCCTATCAGATTTCGAGGGAACTGCTGCTGCCAAGTCACTGCAGTTCTGCAGATCCTGCATTGAGCATCTGTCCCTTGGTGATCCGTGCGCATCATAGCAACTGGTCAGACAGTCGGGTACTTAGCATATTAGCCTTTTATATAGATAGATATTCCCATTGCTATACTTTACATTCCCATGACTGTTCTGTAACTACAAATCTACTTCTCAATCCTTTCACCTCTTTCACCCAGACTCCCTACCTCCCTGCCAGCTGGCAGCCATCAAATGTTCTGTATCTGTGAGTCTGTTTCTGCTTGTTTGTTTAGTATTTTAGATCTAATTATTGATATAGATGTGTATGTACACACACACACACACACGCGCATATATATATATATATATATATACACGAAATTTGTGCACGGGGCAGCGGCCCTGTCCCTCAGTCCAGCCTGCAGAATTTCCAATCTGGGATTGTGGCTCCAAACCACTCGCCCATACCCTTTTATGTAATGATGTTTACTTTGAATTTATATTAGTTCACACAAACACTCCATCCATGCTTTTGTTCCGGCCCTCCGGTCCAGTTTAAGAACCCATTGTGGCCCTCGAGTCAAAAAGTTTGCCCACCCCTGCACTATCCACTGAGCCAAACCAGTTAGGGCCTGTAGTGCTCTTTATTTCTCCTTCAGTTTTAAATGATTGCTTTGTCCTGTGAAGAGTAATCTTTCATCGCTTTGAATATTTCTTGCTCCTACCTTCTGGCCTGCAAAGTTTCTTTTGAGAAATCAGCTGACAGCACAATATTGGGAGCTTCCTTTAGGTAACTAACTGCCTTTTTCTTGTTGCTTTTAAGATTCTGAATTTGTAACATTTTACATTTTAATTATGATATGTCTTGGTGTAGGTTTCTTTAGGTTTCATCTTGTTTAATACTGTCTTGTGTTTCCTGGACTTGTATGTCTATTTCCTTCACCAAGTTAGGGAAATTTTCTGTCCTTATTTTTTTCATTTTCTTGTTCCAGCACCTCCATGTACACTTGAAGTTGTCCCAGAGGTTCCTTATACTATTCTTATTGTTTTGGATTTTTAATTTTTCTTTCTTTTTTTGCTGTGTGTGGGTGTTTTGGTGTGTTTTTTTTCTTTGTTATATTCATCTTCACCGATGGATATTTTTTCCATTAATATTTAGAGAGTGGAAAAGAGGGTGAAGGAGAGTGGCGGACAGAGAGAGAGAGAGATGAGAGGGAGAGAGAGAAACATTAGAGAGACTCATTAGTTGGTTGCCTCCTGCATGCACCCCAACTGAGCTCGTGATTGAACCTCCAACCCAGGTATGCACTCTTAACCAGGAATCAAACCCTCAACTCTCAGTGCATGGGGCGATGCTAATCATGGAACCACACCAGCCAAGTGTGATTGGGGTTTTTTGCTTCCTCATCTTCCAAAACATTGATTTGATTCTAAGCTTCTTCTGCTCTATTGGTTGATTCCTTGTAAGTTATTCTTCATTTCAGGTAGCATATCCTTCATTTTTGACTGTTACTTTTTTATGCTTGAAGTTCTCACTAAGTTCCTTCAACATCCTTATAACGCCTGTATCTGGTAGTTTGCCTGTCTCCACTTGGTTTAATTCTTCTTCTGTTCACATTCATTTGGGGCATATTTCTTTGTCTTCTAATTTTGGCAGCCTACCTATTATGTTTGTTTCTATGTTTAAGTAATTAGGTAGTTCTGCTATATCTCCCAGATGTGGTAGAGTGGTCTAATGTAATAGGTGTTCTGAGGGGTGGCACAGCTTCCCTGATCACCCAAGATGAGCCTCTCTGTGTGAGCTGTGTACACTTCCTGTTGTAGTAGGTATGTAATTGCTGTTAGCAGGTCAATGGGAGGGATTTACCTGCAGGTCAAACAACTTTAAGGACTGACTCTGATCACTGATCATTGACCTTTGGCCACTATGGAGGATCAGCTATGCAGTGACCCACCCTACAGAACAGGACTTAGTTCATTAGGTCTGTGGTGCCTGTGTCTACCCCTTGAGTGTGTCACTTTGTGGAGGTTTTTGGATGGTGCAGCTTCCACATGGTCTGAAGCTCTCTACTGGGTGTGCTTACTCTGGAGCCTCCAGGGAGGTGCAGGAAAAGGTTGGCACTAACTGTGTTCTCTCTGGCATAATCTATAGTGATGCAGATGGCTGCTACTTGTGCTGGCTTGGAGGTGCCCAGGAGTGGCTAAGCTGTGAACTAAAGCCGACTTCTACTTATACCAGCCCTGGGTCCCCTTAGCAAGAGGTACAGAGCATGCTGAGGCCAGATGCTGCATGTTTGAGAGATTTTTAAAAAATCTGAAGCATGAGGCAAGACAGGACATTGGTATGGAAAAGCCATTGGAAACAGCATACATAGGTCTAAAGTATGGTTGGGCAGGGCCTCAGAATCACGAGAGCCGGGCTAATAGGTTTAGCCAGGTCTATGGAGACAGATATTGTTCAACCTGCTGGCTCTATGAAGGGAGGGCTTATCAAAGGAAAAATGGCTTTTGCCAGCACCTGTGTCTCTTACCTTAATCCCCCCAACTCTTGCTGTGATGTAGAACAATTTAGTTCCTCCCCATATGTCTCTTTCAAACTGCTGCCCCAGCAGTGGAGCTTAGAGCGAGCAAGTCCCAGTAAGTCTGTGTGGTATTTTTAAGAGGAACTGCCTGGGAAGCCAGTAGCTTCCATGTCACTCAGTCAAAATCTCCACTGGTTTTTACAGCCAGAAGATATGGGGACTCCTCCTGCTAGCACTGGATCCCTGGGCTGGGGGGGCTTGGCATGGAGCTGACATTCCTTGCTTCTCAACAGGGACCTCTGCAGCCAAGGTATCTTCCCAATATTTATTTGCTACCTGTGGGTGGTTTCTGCCCACCAGTCTCTATGTGGCATCTTCTGTAATTCGGCAATTCTCTAGTTGTAGGACCTTCCTTCAGCTCCATTTCAGGCAATTCTGAATGAAGATTGTTTTGAAGATTATTTGTAATTTTGATGCTATTATTTCCTTGATTCCTTGTTGAGATAGCTCATTGCTAGTGTATAGAAACACAGCTGCTTTTTGTATTAGGTTTTCTCCATTCATCCTTTTCTTTTGATTTTATTTTGTATTGGTTTTAGATGTAGAGCTTAATGGTTGAACAGTCTTATATTTACATAGTGTTCCCCTTGATATTTCCTATACCCCACCTGGCTCCATATATAGTTAATTGCATATTGAGTGTGTTTCTGTGCTTAATTTACATTTACTTCCTCGTTACTATTTTGTACCTATGAGTTTGTACTTCTTAATTGCTTCACCCCCAACCCCCCAAACCCTGCCCTCGGCAACCACCAATTTGCTCTCTGTGTCTGAGTCTATTTCAGTTTTGTTTCTTTGTTTATTCTCTTCTCTAGATCTCACATATAAGTGAAATGATACGGAATCTGTCTCTGACTTACTTTACTATATGTTCGTTTTCTGAAATACCAGCTCATCTCTTAATCTTTCACGAATGAGTCTATTTCCTTGCTGTAGACATTCTATTCCCTTGTTCCAAAGAGTGACCCAGAGATTTGATTAGCACCATCATCATCTGATAGCATGTTAGAAATGTAATTTTTTAGCTCAGTCTTACTTACTGAGCCAGAATTTTAATTTTAACACAATCCCTCTATATTTTGTATGCATACAAAATGTTGAGAAGTGTTGCTTTATATTGCACTGCAGTTGTGTCACTGTGACTAGTTTCCGTTGAGTTTTTTGGGGGGCAGCTTATTGTAAATATTCTTTAAACACTGCTTTTCCTCTCTAAATGACTCAGATTTAAAAAAATGGCCAAATGTGAACATTTTAGGACATATTTTTAAGGGCATTTGCAATGGAAATGCCAAAAAAGAATATTTTAAATACAGGTTTTTGGACTTCACCTCAGGTCTATCAGTCTTTAGGAGATGTAACTACCTTTTTAAAAACCAAGTAAGTAATCAGTATGGTAGGGAAGCTGTCACACTGCCACTTTATTTTTCCTATTTTTCTCCCCCACCCCTTTTCCTCTGTTATTAAAATGAATTATATAAACAGCTTTTCTAGGCTATTTGTTAATCATTTTTTAGTCATTTATGAAAAATGATTCCATTTAATTAAATCCAAGGATATTTTAGGAATTTAGAGAGTTTGTAACAACAGTTAAGTGAGGTTTTCCTTAATGTGTTTAATTTGAAAGTAATTTATAAAACAATTGATGGCAAAGCCATTTTTAAAAGCTATTTGTTTATCTCGAAGGATAACAAAGCTGATGTAATTTTAAAGTACAATGCAGATGAAGCTAGAAGTCTGAAGGCATATGGCGAGCTTCCAGAACATGGTAATGTCAAAGTTATGTTTTCCTGTATTATGGTATTGTTAGTCCGTTGGTATTTTGGTGAAGCAGTTTTGATAGAATTCTGTATTTTCTACGTATTTTTCATGTATGTAATTAACAAAAATTAGTTTCAAGTATGCCTACCTAAACATAATATTTATACATTAGTAATAAAATTCTGTTTCTAGTAAATGTTGCTTGATAGGGAGTTTAAAACGTTTTAAGCTTTGAGCTTGTGTATAATTTATTTTTTTAGAAATATATTTTTGGTGATTTTAGAGAAGAAGGGAGAGGGAGAGAGAGATAGAAACATCAATGATGAGAGAGAATCATTAATTGGCTGCCTCCTGCATGCTCTGGGCATGTGCCATCATTGGGAATTGAACCATGACTGGTTCATAGATCAACACTGAGCCACTCTGGCCGGGCTATGTATAACTTCTGTTAAGAAAGTACATTTTGTTTAGTGTTTTTAACAGTTCTCAAAAGAGATTTATCAGTTTTCAAGTATATCAGTACAATAATGATACTGGTATTGGATTTATAGAAAACAGTGGTCAGTATATCTTAGCATATTATTTCATAGAATTTTTGTTTTTTAATAAAAAAAAAAATTCTCACCCAAGGATATGTGCATCAGTTTAAAAGGTGTGTGTGGGGGGTGGGGGGTGGGGGTGGAGGAATATTGATGAGAAAGAAACACATTTATCAACTGCCTCTAGTATGTGCTATAACCAAGGATTGAACACACAACCTGGGTGTGTGCCCCAATCGGTAATCAAACCTGCAACCCTTCAGTTTATGTGGTGCAGTCAACTGAGCCATACTGGCCAGGGTTGTGTGTACTTTTTAACAGATACTTCTTTTCATTTTTTTTCAACCCTGACCCAAAAATATGCTTATTAATTTTAGAGAGATGGAGAGGAAGAGGTAGGGGAGAGGATGGGAGGAAGGAGGAGTGGGGGAAAGGGAGAGAAAGAGAGATAGATATCAGTGTGAGAGAACATTGATTGGTTGCTTTTCATACGTACCCTGAATGGGATAACACCCACAACCTTTTGGTATATGGGAAGAGCCATTCTGGCCAGAGCTATTTCTTTTTATACTTAACTAGAGGCCCAGTGCACAAAAATTTGTGCCTTCCTGGGGGAGAGGGGGGTCCCTCAGCCTGGCCTATGCCCTCTTGCAGTCTGAGACCCTTCAGGAGATAACGACCTGCTGGCTTAGGCCTGCTCCCGCGTGGCAGAGGGCAGGCCCAATCCCTAGGTGCAACACCTGGTCGGCCTCAGAGCAGGGCCGATCGGGGAGTTGAGGAACCGCCCTCTGTCATGCACAGAGCAGGGCGGATTGGGAGGTTGTGATGCCACCCTCAGGTACGCTCAGGGTAGGGCCAATTGGGGGGTTGGGGCCTGCCCCATTACACTCAAGGCAGGGTCGATGGGGAGGTTATGGCTCTACCCCGTCACACACAGAACAGGGCCTGTAGGGGGGGAGGGGTGTTGGGGCGCAGCACCCTGTCACACACAGAGCTGCAGGGCGATCAGGGGGTTGGGGAGCTCCCCGCTATCAGGCACAGAGGAGGTATGATCGGTGGGTTCGGGCTCCTTCCCCTGTCACGAACAGATCAGGGAGGATAGGGAGGTTGTGGCCCCGCCCCCTATCACACACAGAGCCACAGGGCGATCAGGGGGTTTGGGTGCTGCCCCGTTACATTGATCCTGGTGCCGGGAGGCCTTTCAGCTCCACTGATCCTGGTGCTGGGAGGCATATTACCCTTTACTATAGGATAGAGGCCTGGTGCATGGGTGGGTGCCAGCTGGTTTGCCCTGAACGGTGGTGCCTGGCCAGCCTGGATGAGGGGATGATGGCTGTTAAGCCTCATGTTCGCTTCAAGCTGCCTGACTGTCAGCCACCATCTTGTCTGGCAGATCATTTGCTTATCGCCCTGATTAGCCCATCCGAAGGGTAGCGGAGTAACACCAATTTGCATGTTTCTCTTTTATTAGTGTAGAAGGCACTTAAAGATATAAAGTAAGTTTCTTAAGAGTAAGTGTACTATTTCCCAGTTACATTTTTCACTTGGCAGCTATTTTATTTACTTTTTTTACTTCATTGCATTTAGTAATGAAAATATAAGATCTTTACATAAGCATTAAAATTTTGATGAAATTATTTGTATTTAAAATATCAGACCAGCCCTAACTGGTTTGATTCAGTGAATGGAGCATCGGCCTGTGGACTGAAGGGTCCCAGGTTTGATTCTGGTCAAGGGCATGTACCTTGGTTGCGGGCACATCCCCAGTAGAAGGTGTGCAGGAGGCAGTTGATCGCTGTTTCTCTCTCATCGATGTTTCTATCTCTCTATCCTCTCCCTTCCTCTCTGTAAAAAATCAATAAAATATATTTTAAAAAATATATATCAGACCAGTATTTCCTCTTTCAGGTATATTCCTTAGAGCAGCAATTTTCAACCATTGTCCCAGTAATTTTTAAAACATACAGCATCTACCTGAGTATTTACTCAGGGTACTGACATGTTTTCCACCATATTGTCAAATTTAAAAATGACAACATCGAACACAATACTATCTAGTATAAATGAATAAAAATTACATCTTTTTTTTATCAGATTGGGAAAAAATACATAACATTTTTTTATGTACTGCAGCATTTTAGTAATTGGTTGAAAATGCTGGCTAAGAGGATAAGCATAATTTGACAAGTCTTTTTAATTGATTTGGTTAAGTCTTTCTAATAAGTCTTTGGTGAATGAGTTATTCTTAGGAAAACTTAACATGCGCAGAAGTTATCATGTTTTCAATTCCATTTTGAGGAAAATTGGGAAGTGCAAGAGCTATGTTAGTGTGATTAGAACTTGCCTTTCTTATAATACCTTTCTGAACAAAATAAAACTATAGTACATAATACTCTTCATGATAGTTGGTGAACCCTCTGAGAGTTTTGTTGTGAATTTGCTCTGTGATGAATTCTTTGAAGTTAGGAAGATAATTTGTTTTTTGTAATGAAACATTTCTATTGTAGTAGCACTTGTAAGAGTCGTCTTCTACAGTTTGATATTTTGTATCAGATCTGATAACATCTTGATATATATTTATTATCATATCTTTAGCTAAAATCAATGAAACAGATACATTTGGTCCTGGAGATGATGATGAAATTCAGTTTGATGACATTGGAGATGATGATGAAGACATTGATGATGTAAGTAGTAGATAAATCCTGTGGGGGGTTTGTTTGTCTTATTAATGTATAAAGAAACCAGGTGTTTCCCCTAACTTACTTTAATCTAAGAATGTTGAACACTTAAATTCAGTGATTTGAAAGCTTATTCATGAATCTGAATATTCATTAATATTCAGAAACCAACAAGTTTAACTTTTTATTCAAGAAACTTTATAATACTTTGAAACATTTCTTTCTAATATGATCAGATTAGTTTTGACAGTGGGTAATCTGTAATGATAACTCAGTTAAGAGTATCTACAGAAATAGCTATTAAGAAATATAGCAAATGATTTTGAGAATGTTTTTTCTTAAATGAAATGTTAAAAGAATATTGTTTGAATCCATTTGCTGAAGCATTGAAATTGTAATATATTTTAAAAATCTTGTTAAAATAGAGGCCTCTTTGATCGAAGTATGTATTGAGATTACATTGCTTATTGGCCAAATTTTTGGTTTGCAGTATGTATGTGTTTGTATGTGAAAATTTTCCCATCCTTCCATGTCCTATTTCTGAGTATGCTTTAAAATGTACATAACATTAGGAACTACTGTAATAAATATTGATAGATGAAAAGAGGGATAGATGTGAATGATCATGTGTATAAGTATGTAAACTGTATACCCTTGGTGGTGGGTATATGGTATTCTCTTGAATTTTAAGTTCTTTTAACTCCTGAATGTCTGAAAATATTTTTAATAAAGATGTTGGTGATTGAGAAATCTGGAGATCCCTGTTCTAGATCAGTGACTCCCAATCACTTGTGGTGCCCCACTTACATTTTTCCCAAGACCTTGAATCTTTGAAAAGCTCTGTTAATTTTGCTGCACAACCTTTGTGCTACATTTTCTAAAATTCCATCTAAGTATTTAAACACTCATATTTATTTACTTACTTTGAAGAATATTGCAAATTTAATTTTAAATAATGGTGCTGTGTTTTTTGTGTGTTTTTTTAAATTGTTGACACTGCTCTGGCTGGCTTGACTCAGTGGTTAGGACATCAACCTAAGCACCAGAAAATTGTGGGTTCAATCCCAGCCTGAGTGAGGGTGTGTACGGGAAGCAACCAATCAATGTGTTTCTCTTTCTCTTTCCTTTGCTCATCCTCTCCATTTACTCTAAAAGAGAGAGGGGAAAAAAAGGTCAGTGGAAATAATATGCATGGGTAAGGATTAACAAAAAGAAAAAAGAATTGTTGACACTATTACAGATGTTCCCTCTTTTAACTCATTGCCTCCTCCTTAAAGCCCCCATTCTGTAGGCCTTCACCACGTTATTATCTGTATCCATGGGCTATGAATATATACATATATGTTCTTAGGCTAATTTCTTCCAGCCCTCCAAATCCCCATGCCCTCTGTCTTTATTATTTTGTTTAGATTTCTGGTTTTTAAACTATAGCTTTAGTACAGAGGTATTAAAAAACCTATGCCTGATTAAAGTGTAAGCTACACTACCACCTCATTTTTAAGCATACTATATTCCTCCTATTCCAGCTCTCAACATACAATGTCTCTAGCCACTGCACAAAAGGGGCAGGGGAGCTAGCTGGTGTGGGTGTCATCTGGGCACCAAAAGATTGCTGGTTCCATTCCAGGTCAGGCACATGCCTGGGTTGTAGGTTTGATCCCCAGTAGGGTGTGTACAGGAAGCAGCTAATCTATTTTTCCTTCTCACATCAATGTTTCTCTCTTTTTCTACCTCTCCATTCCTCTCTCTAAAAATCAGTGAAAAAAATTTTAAAAGATGGGAAGTTGAAAATGGGGACATCTAATAAAAGAGAAACATGGTAATTGGCCTATGACCACTACCCTTCCCGTTGGCTAATCAGCAAGATATGCAAATTAACTGCCAGCCAAGATGGCGGCCGGCAACCAGGCAGCTGATGAGAACAGGGAAGCTTGCTTGCTTCAGTGACAGGACTCCAACTTTCCCAGCCGGGCTTCAGCCAGCCGGACCGCAACATTTTATCAAATACAGACGGTAAACAAAGGCCAGAAACCTGTTTTCAGCAGCCAAGGCCTCAGAGCTAAAGCTGGCCCACAATAAAGAAAAAGAAATAAAGGAGCGATTGGGAGCTTCAGTCCCAGACAGCCATCAGCCCCTCACCCAGGCTGGCCAGGCACCCAAGCGGGACCCCCACCCTGATCTGGGACACCATTCAGGGCAAACCAGCTGGCCCCCACCCGTGCACCAGGCCTCTACCTATATAGTAAAGGGTAATAATGCTTCCCAGCACTGGGATCAGCGGAGCCGTGAGGCCTCCCGGCACCAGGATCAGTGTGACGGGGGCAGTGCCCAAACCCCCTGATTGTCCTGCAGCTCTGTGTGTGACGGGGCGGTGCCCCAACTCCCCTATCGGCCCTACTGTGTGAGTGACGGGGGAGCTCCTCAACCCCTTGATCAGTCCTGCTCTGTGCATGACAGGGGGGAGCTCCCCAACCCCCTGATGGGCCCTGCTCTGTTTGTGACGGGGGTGGCGCCGCAACCTCCCTATCGACCCTGCCTTGAGTGTGACAGGGGTTGGTGCCCCAACCCCCAATCGGCCCTACCCTGAGTGTTACTGAAGGTGGCATCGTAACCTCCCAATCTCCCCTGCTCTGTGCATGACAGGGGGCAGCGCCCCAACTCCCCAATCGAACCTGCTCTGAGCCCGACCAGGGGCTACACCTAGGGATTGGGCCTGCACTCTGCCATCCGGGAGCAGGCCTAAGCCAGCAGGTCATTATCTCCTGAGGGGTCCCAGCCTGCGAGGGCACAGGCTGGGCTGAGGAATCCCCCTTTCCCCCGAGTGCACAAATTTTTGTGCACCAGGCCTCTAGTATAAACAATAACAAGTAAAGAAAAAAGAGGAAGGATATGCTAAACAATTTAAGATTTGCCAACAGATGGTAATTGAGAAAAATTTGGTATACATATTTGCTTTTAAATGGATTTATTTTCTAGATCAATAGGTCCCAATGTGGGGCACATGCCCCACAGGGGGCAGTTCAATTTTTTTAAAAAAAATACATTTTGTTGATTGGAGAGAAACAGATTTATTGTTCCATGAAGTCATTGATTGCTTCTTGTATGTGCCCTGTCCGGGGATTGAACCCACACATTGGCATCCTGGAACATGCTCTAAGCAATTGAGCTCCCTGGCCAAGGCCAGTTTGATTTTTAAGGGAGGGCAATTCGAGAATGAGTTACTAACAGTGAAATTTTTGCATTTCTTATGGTTCTAGTGGCCTCATATACAGTATATAAATATACTAGAGGCCTGTTGCATGAAGAGATTCATGCAATAGGCCTTTCTTCCCCTGGCTGCTGGCACTGGTTTTCCTCCGGCACCCGGGACCCCGGCCTTTGGTTCAGCCGCAACGAGGCTTGGCTTCTTCCCTCTGGCCACAGCGAGGCTTGGATTCTCCACTGTGGCCACAGCGAGATTTGGCTTTTCCGCTGTGACTGCAGCAGAGAAGCCAAGCCTATTCAGTCTTCAGTCTTCACTCTGAGCCTGCGTATGCAAATTAACAACCATTTTTGTTGGGTTAATTTGCATAGTTGTACTGATTGGCTGGTGGGCATGGCGGAGTGACACCAATTTGCATGTTTCTCTTTTATTAGTGCAGATATTGTGACATTTATGCATTTCAATTCTCTATTATGTTTTGAAACTATTTGCTATTTTTTTCATATTCATATTATTATTTTTTAAACTATTAGTGATTTCTGCCCTAGTACTTCAACTTTCCTTCATTCTTTTATTTTTCTCTTTCATGGATACTGTGTTCTTTGGAAGCTTGTTTAGACCAAGTTAATGACCTTTTAGGCTTCCTGCGCATGAATAGTTCACTTTTTGAATAATAAGAATTATATGTCACATGGGGTTAGGGGGCACCATCAGGATTTTAGAGATGCTTAGGTGGAGCATGGCCAAAAATGGTTGGGAACCACTGTTCTAGATTATCTAAGGTTCTTAGTCAGTAGACTGTTTTATTATAAGAATTATTTTAACATGAATCTGATATTCTTTTTACTTACAGATCTAAATTGAACTTAAAGTTTCAGAGTATTTGTTCCATAGTTTGGATTTTGGCCATCACGTGTCAAGAAGACTAAAACTTCGGGATAATTGCAGTTTCCTAACACACACTTTGTTTTCATTGTTTTAAAATATTTATTATCTTTAAATGAGCTGTTAACACTTTATTCTTTTGATGTAATGGAACTTAGGGATGAAAGATCACAAGATCTGCTGTTAAAACATAGAAAGGAGACGGGGGAAGAGAGAGAGAATGAATAAAGTAAATGTTTTCCAGGTAATGAATGTTTTGACTAAATTGCTTTATCTTTAGGTCAGTGATAAGTCCTAGTCCCAAGTAATTTTTTATTCAGCCTTTCTTTATGTTACCTAGATATTCTCTTTAATTTCTGTTAAAAATTTGAGGAAGAAAGAAATCTACATTTGAAGTTAAGAAAAGGGGCTATTTTTTAATATTTCTGTAACTGGGTGCTGTATTTTCAAACTGATAACATTCTTTTTATCATTTCATGCTGTCATAAATAACTAGCACTTATAAACTGCTTATTTTAGAACATGGCCTTGAGTAGCAATTTTTAATTTATACAATGGGTATTTGCAAAAATTCAATGCTAGATGGTAACTCAAAATTGGAAGTACTGATATACTAGTGTTTTTTACTTAATGTGTACAAATTTCTTTAAAAAGACAACTTTTAATGGCCAAATAAGGAGAATAGTTTGTACTATACCAAAAAGTTGTTAAAATGTGTCATTTTATTTTCAAAAGTCATGCGTTTGTTACCTATAGTTTTGGGCTTTGTGAACAATTAAATTACAATGTATAAGTGAAAAATTAATTCTATAATAAACTGCTATAAGGAAAACAACGGGATCACAGCTAAGAAATATAATAAAATGTCCATTGGGTATATTTTGGCCTTAGTTTGTGTTAATGGTGTATTTTATTGTGTGAACCAATTTTTTTGTGTATATTTCATTAGGAATTTATATTATGTCCTTCCTTTTTGATATTTTGTTTATTTTGAAAGTTGTAGTAAAATGAAATTAAAGAGGTGCTAAATAGGAACCGCAATTAAATCTTACACAATTGGAATAGAAAAGGTTTGTTAAGTGGTTTAAGAAACATCACTTTTTTTCAAAGGGTTTTTTTTCAGCAGAGAAAATTAAGGGAATGTCTTTATCTGGTTTTAATTATATCCTATATAATAAAAGGCTAATATGCAAATAGACAAAATGGCAGAATGACCGGTCGCTATGACACGCACTGACCACCAGGAGCAGACACTTAACACAGGGTCTGCCCCTGGTGGTCAGTGCGCTCCCACAGGAGAAGCGCCGCCCAGCCCAAAGCCAGGCTCATGTTTGGTGAGTGCAGCCACAGTGGTGGGAGCCTCCTGCGTCCATAGCACTTGGACATCCCCCAAAGGCTCCTGGACTGCAAGAGGGCATGAGCTGGGCTGAGGATCTCCCTGTCCCACTTCTTTCCCCTCAACCCCCCATGCATTAATGTCTTGCACCAGGCCTCTAATATATAAAGAAGACTACAACTTTATATAATTACATATATAAAGAACAAATACAAAGATGATTATATATTCATATGGTTTCATGCCATGTGTGTGGAAAGTCTGATTGTGTACAAGCTGCTGCAGAGGTGCATAGCAGATTTTGCTGCAATGGAGCTTTGATCCTTCCGTGATGTCTGAAGCTGGCTTCTTGGTTCATTTTTTCTGAGGCCTTTTGGGAGGGACTCTGTTGTAGGTCAGTACCAACCTCTGCCTGTGACTGGCCCTGAACAATCTGTTCCAACCTGTTCAGCACTACAAAGCGATCCACAACCTGTGGCTGTCTCTGCTGGGTGTGTGTGGAAGGACAAAGTTGCACATGAAAGTTGTCTTCCCCCTGCACCGAGCCTGGGGGTTGATCAGCAAAGGCCCAAGGCACCCTGAGATCTGCCTCCATCAGTCTCCACCTTCAGGCTGTCTATTAGGCTTAGTCACTGAAAGAGCCTTTGTGGTACTTGAGTTGCCTACGGTAGGTTCTCAGTGTGTCACCAGATAGGGGCAAGTGGTGTTCAGATTGATACATGTTCAAGCTGAATGACAGTGCTGGGTGAGGCTACTAATTAAATGTCTTGGGGTACATCAGGTCTAGCTGCTATCTGCTAGGTGCTTGCACACCTTTATGGTGGGACAGGGTCTCAGAAAATGGTCAGGGTGAGGTCAGCAGGATTATCAGGACCAAATAGCCCAAGATTTGGCTATGTGAAGGGAAGTTCTGCACTGGTTGGGAGTCAGAGTTCAATATGATGGGTCCTGTAGTCAGGATGGTGGGGCTATCAGATCTCTCATTCAAGGGTGGTGTTGCTGGTGAGATTCAAGGAAACGTGGGGCAAATAACCCCTGCCCCAAAGCCATACAGCTCACTGGCAGCCACTGAGTTTTTCCAGAGCTCTGTATCTGGACCCAGGCTGTAAAGTATAAAGTGTTTATGCTATATTTATTTAACCATTTTAGATCTTGGTCTACTGCTGGTAACTGAAACCATGGAAAGTGAATCCGTAGATAAGGAAAACTGTACTCCTCAGCAGGCTTTAAGCTCCATAGAGTTGGGTGACAGCTATTGCTTTACCCTAGGCCAATGGTCGGCAAACCGCAGCTCACGAGCCACATGGGGCTCTTTGGCCCCTTGAATGTGGCTCTTCTAAAAAATACCATGTGCAGGCGTGCACGTACAGTGCTATTGAAACTTCGTGGCTCATGCGCAAAAGTCAGTTTTTGGCCTGGACGTGTATTTTGAAGAAGTGTCGTTAGAAGAAGTGGGGTGTGTTGTTTGGCGAGGCAAAGGGAGATGCAGCGCAGGTGGGCCACGGGAGGCGTGCGCGATTCATGCATGAGTTGAGTGAGACTGGCTACGAGTGTGGGTAGGAGAGTTGGAAGGGGTCGACCTCAGCGAACGTACCTCAATCAGATTGAGAATGTTTTTAGCAAAGGCCAGATTAGGAGTACCCTAATTAAGTTAATCACAATGTACCTACCTATATAGTTTAAGTTTAAAAAATTTGGCTCTCAAAAGAAATTCCAATTATTATACTGTTGATATTTGGCTCTGTTGACTAATGAGTTTGCCGACCACTTCCTTAGGCTGATATGCTAAGGAGATGAGTGTACCACCCAAGAAAGATGGCGTCTGTGGTGTGGGAGAGGGACTTATCACAGGGATCCTAATGGCTACTCTTTCAGCTCTTTCCCCGGAAACAAACCCAGTTTCTCCTGATGTGACTATTTGTCCTTTGCCTTTCTTTTACTGGTGCTCAGGGTAAGTGGCTGTGAACAAAATTTGTCAAAGCACAGATTACTGATACATTTAAGATAATATAACCTAACAAGGTGAACATTTCCAAAATTAATGAAAAAAGTGAATTCAAGCAGACCAAGGGTTAATCACATGAAACTAAACAGGTGTTTGGTTATAAATTGTTATGACTTATTTAAAATATTCTGGTTTAATATTTTGCTTGTCCATATTTAAGAATTTTTTTCAAGTTATTTGTGACATAATCATTTGGTTAAATATGTCTTTGTAAACAAAGATATGTTTTTCTTGTTTAATTTCTCCAGAATTTGGAAACTATTTTTTTACGGCAATATAGTTATTTATTAGAGACCCAGTGCACAAAATTTGTGCACTTGGGGTCGAGGGTCCCCCACCCCGGTCTGTGCCCTCTCGCAGTCTTGGACCACTCAAGAGATGTCTACCTGTTGGCTTAGGCTTGATCCCCGGAGGATTGGGCCTAAGCTGGGAGTCAGACATCCTTCTGGCATCCCGGGAGCCATTGGGGGATATCCACTTGCCAGTGTGGGAACAGGACTGAGCTGCTGTTGGACATCCTTAACACTGCTGAGGAGGTGGAAGAGGCTCTCACCACT